TTTCGCAAACTCCCAGTAGAACAGAGCTCTCGACCAGCTTGCAAATTGGATGAATCATAATAATGAAAGGAGTGTTACTAAACTGAATAACGAAATAACGAGCAATAAAGTAACGAGAAACCGAGTAACGGGAAAACATTTCAAAGGGTTAAAAATTACAAAATCTTTTAAAAATGCGTAAAATCGATTAAAATCGATTTTTTAGTATTGATATATAAATAGTGACTACAAAACCAAATCACAAAGCAAGCTTGGTGAGTAGTAGTTTTTCTGCGATTCACATGAGTCCAAGGTTTCAGTAACGCTGCGCATACAATACGAGGCCATGAGTTATGACACTTAAAAAAAAAAGTTCTGCATGGTGTATCCCTCAAGGTTCCTAAATATGACCGGCAGTCTGAATCAGTGTTAATTATAGTAAATCATAGTTTGGATTGGCTAAGTTCTTTTGGTTAAGTTCTTTGACTTAGTGAACATTAAAATGATAAGTTAGGCCCCGTCCACACGTGCACGTATCCGGATTTTTTTGAATCCGCAACTTTTTCTTTCAGGATACAGCTTCCGTCCACACGCATCCGGCGAATTCGGCAGCGAATCCGGATAATTTTTAATCCGCTCCCCAGAGTGGAAAACAAAATCCGCANTCCGCAACTTTTTCTTTCAGGATACAGCTTCCGTCCACACGCATCCGGCGAATTCGGCAGCGAATCCGGATAATTTTTAATCCGCTCCCCAGAGTGGAAAACAAAATCCGCAACGAATCCGATAACGCGTGGACGGTGAATCCGGATATTTTCGAATCCGATCATGACGTAGCAAAATCGTGTTCAGTCTCTAACTGAACAACAAACCAATATGTCGGCACAACATGTAGGCCTGGTTTCTCTAAAGTGAATCCGGATACAACCGAATGCGTGTGGACAGGCGAATTCGATTTGAATATGCTACGTGTGGACGGGGAAATTTTTGAGTCCGGAAAGGAAAAGTTGCGGATTCAAAAATATCCGGACACGTGTGGACGGGGCCTTAGTTGCAGTTGACACAGAAAAGCAGTGCGTGATCTTCCGTCCTGAAATGTGAAATGATTTCCCACAATCATCATAACCCTGGAAACAGCCGAAAAGACTTCTTTCTACACTTCTCTANGAAAAAGTTGCGGATTCAAAAATATCCGGATACGTGTGGACGGGGCCTTAGTTGCAGTTGTCACAGAAAACCAGTGCGTGATCTTCCGTCCTGAAATGTGAAATGGTTTCCCATAATCATCATAACCCTGGAAACAGCCGAAAAGACTTCTTTCTACACTTCTCTAGTTATTATCGTAAGTTGATGTCTGCTCTGAAGACGGAACTGATTTATTTGACCATTGCGACCGTCAGGTGATAGTTTTCCTTCCACGACTTACCGCAGATGATATGTATAATATCAAATTTCAGGATTCGAAATCTTTGCACGGTGATCCGCCGCAATATTCTTGGGCATTGGCCTTAAATCTGAGAGTTTTATAGCTAAGCCCCTTTGCGTATAATTTTGAAAACTTTGGCGTAAGAAAGAAAAAAAAATGTATTATCCGGATCCTTTCTTCGGCGCGGTATCAAGTGTATAAAGAATGATTTAGGCGGCAGTTACATGAATCAAAAACACAGCAAAATGCCTTCCGTGCCTTGGCAAACACGCTTTTTTACTTTTTATCTGTTTCAATCGATTTCACGGATTTTTAAAAGACTTTGAAATTTTTAACCCTTTGAATTTTTTTCCCGTTACTTGTTACTCGTTACTCGTTACTTCGTTACTCTGTTTAGTAACACCCTAATGAAAGAAGTATTGTGCAGTTTTACAGGCCTTCGAATTTGTTGTTGTTGTTGCTTCAAGTTTTTTTTCATTTAAGTATATCATTTGAATGATCTTTCTCTGCTGAGATAACTTTATTATTCTATAAAGTGAGGCTTGAAAGAAGCTTCAAAAGCGGACAACTTCGCAGATTTTGACTTTCAAAGATATTATAATAAGAAAAGTCAAGTTCATTTTTCTTCTGTCAAACCATGGTCAAACAATGGTTTCTAAACCGTTTCATTTTATCATTATTCACTTTCAAAGTATCTGTTTGTGATCTACTGAAGCAATGGCTTTTCTCCGTAGAATTGTAATCAAGGCGCGAATAACAATTATTATTACATGTATTATGGATCAGAGTTTATGAATCAATACTGGTTTTTCTTCGTGGAATTGTAATCAATTACGTACGACAGTTATTAGGATAGAGGTTACGAATAAATACCTGGTGGCGATATCCACGATTTCGAGGTGTAACCACCAAAGATGTATTCCCCACTTTTTATCAGCACGAGAGTAGGACCTTTGTTATCACAGCAGCGATGAAAGTCATCAGGCGTGTTACCATCGGTTGAAGCTCGGAACAACAGAGAACACGTCGCATTAGGAGGCAACCATGACTTAAGAGCTGACTGGTGGGTTTCAGTCTTTACTATCAAAGAGGAGCCGAGAAGACCAGGAGACGCGGGCGTTTTTGCTTCCAGTTGCTCAATAATACCTTGAACTTGATAAAACTTGGCTTCTTCAAGCAGTTCTTCTTTAATTCTTTCCGCGTCGGTTAGGATGAGCTGGCCATTGCGGAGGTAGTTCAAAATGTACCTGAATGGCCAAAAAATGATATTTTCAAGTCAATGTAAATAAATAAATGAACCAGTCAATAGTGAACATCAATAAATGGCAAAGAATCTCACATTAAAGGAGGTACCTTCACGGAAAACAAACAAACCGCAACAAACCAAGACATGGATTTCAGCCGACACTTTCTCTGTGTAGGGAATGGGGTGGAGAGCTGGAAAACTTGACGTCTTTTCTGATCGGCATCTCTCGTCGTCTCGTTTCTTCGTTTTTTAGTATCACGGAAGGGTCGTTACGCATGTTTTCCCGTTGCGTGACGGCCCAGACATTAACCTTAACAAATTTAAATATTCATGATTAAGCCGCGTTAATCAAGCTATTACGGAATCTCCGTTTTGCCATAGCTTCGTTAGAAAGGCAAAAGAGGAAGTGATAAATCCTAGTGCTTTATGCGATGGTTCGAAGTGGTGTGTATATTAGGAAACTACTAATAGTTGATTTGGTACTGGCTTACCGGAAGAGTTTGCCATCGCGGTCGATAAAATATGCTCCATCTCGCTCATTCGCTTTTAACTCAAACCTTCCAGAAAACATCGCACACAGCATGGAATCCGGATCCTTTCTCAGAGTGTCCAGTGTTGTTTCATAAATCTTCCCGCCAACGTTCAACTTGATCGTGCTAGCGAAGTGTACTGCATTCAATGTTTTTGTGATTTCTTCGATGGCTGACTTTTCTTGTCTTGCATTGTTGAGGTCTTGCTTAAGTAATTCTCGAGCTTCTGCCAAAAGCTTCTGTGCATCGGATAATTTGGCACTGGCCAACTCAAATAAACTCAGCTCTTGTTCTTGTTTAGCTGCCATACCCGTGAATCAGCGAATTACAACAGTCTGGAAGTTACTTGGTCTTACTTCGCACTTCCGGGATTGCAGTGCTATGTGAAAAGTGAAAATCAACGAGCCTCGATCCAGCTAGCCAGCGGTTGGCTTTTCCAGCCAATAGTCGGCGGGGCCTTGAGACGAGGAAAGGCTGGCTGAGACTTTCAATATATATTAAAGTAGTTGATCTCTAACTAAAACCGTTGGATCACAGCACCTAACTCGGACCTAAGGAGATTTAAAAGTGAGATTCTACATAACGAAACATGTGAATACCACATCCGGGTAGAATTTAACTCTCTTTTAGATGATATTCCCTTAGTAATAATCTTAGGTCCGGTGGATATCTTTGGAAGGAAACCAGGGTTGAGTTGGTGAAGATCTTAATCCAAGAATCTGGGGACGAGAATGGAGGCAGATCCTGTTATAGATTGACGCTTATTTTGTTTCTTGGAGGCCATTTTGAATTCTATATACCCAGTCATTTGGTGGGTATGACTCATCTGGTGCGAGGTCTGAGCCCGAAAACCTGCAGAGTACCGTCAGGGACAGCTAGAAGATATTCAACGAAATTCTTTAGAGACGCGGACGTTTTACACTTTTAGACCAGTCCACGGTTTCTCTGTTATTTTCAATTCCGTGAAATCGTGAGTAGCAGGAAATATCGCAATGAGTCATACTAGACCCGATATTTTAAACTTTGTCTCAGTTTCTCCGCCAGTCGGTTTTAGCGCATTAATAGTTCAATTTGATTCTGATAGCAGTAGAGCACCACAAGATCACTTTTCCATCAATTAAAAACATATATCAGCTCCAACATTACACTACGGAAAAGACCACCATTTTTTCGTTGTTGCTCGGCCTGTTTTCATTTACCAGCTGTGGGGCGATACAAAATTGAAAACTCTCTGATCTCCTTTTATTCTTGGGCTATTGTTGCTGGATAATTAACGAGTAAGGTGTTTCGTGTTTATAGGGAATCTTTTTTCAAATATTTAAATTCGTGTATTCTCTTAGAAACAAAACGTAATCTCCACTTACGTTGAAGGCCCATATCTGTAAAACTGATGATTTTTGTTGTGCTCAACTATTTTACTGTTTAATACAATAAAAAATAACCGAGTCCACAAGCCTCTCATGACAAAATAAATGAAACTGTTTCTCGTTTCTTTAAATTTTGAGACCTTAAGGGACATTTCTGAACCCAGCATATCGCAACATTGTTGGGTGCAACATCTTCCGCGCGTTTGGCCATCCTGTTGCGACATGTTGTGTGTTCTTTGCTCAAATTTGACCATTTTCAAACTTGAGCCAACAACACACGACACATCCCAACAAGGTGACCAAACGCGCGCCTCATGTTTCGTCCAACAATGTTGCGATATGTTGCGTTGACATGTTGCGATCGTTTCGCTGGGGCTTTAGAGTTCTAAACAGATTTTCTTGGAAACATGAAGCAGTATGCCCAATTCGGTCTCTCGAGCAAATGAGTAAAAAAATACATAAAAACGTCTGTATTCCTAAATATTTAACTCGTTACCACCCTGATACAAAGTTCAAAACAGATTCTGTGACGTGTTAGCTCAAGCATTCTGTCAAATCTCACTTTAGAGTCTGTCAGAATATTTCAAATCTCAATTCCGCGATAATTTATTTGCCACCAAAATCTAATACAAACATGCGCTAGTTTTTTTTAAATAGCTCTTTTATAATTCCACTTTTTTTTTTCATGATGTCGGAATGAAAAACACTCCGTTTCATCGCAACTTACTTTCAGGCCGCTGTCTTTCCTCTGTTTTTACTTCAGCTAGGCCTTTTTCGATTGTTGGACATTAGAGCCCAGTTTTCCATCAGGTTGGTGCATCTTTAGTTTCAGTAGCATAGGCGACTAGAAGAATTACTATTCTACTCCCCCGTGGATGGGAATGCCAGTCTATCTAACGGATTGATACCATTTGTCAGTATTCGCTTGTAACCTTTAAATGCACTTAGGTGGAGAGAGGTATTGTTTAGAAGTGTTTTACCCAAGAGCAGAGACCCAATGAACCAAACCAGGACCGCTTGATTTAGAGGTCAGCGCCCTAACTATTTAGTATTAGTCCACCGCGTCGACTCCGCCAAGACATATCTGTAGTATGAAATCTCTCTCTGAGTCACACTGGACCCGATGTGTTAGATTTTTGTCTCAATTTTTCCATTGGTCATTTCATTTATATATATATATATATATATTTTTTTTTTTTTTCCGTTTCAAATTTAATTTGGATTTTCATCTTAAACCCAGCTAAGCTTAGAAGTATTTGAGATCTTCTGCAATCCCATAGATGTAGTTTGGCTATCAACAAGAAATAATTTAGTAAGGGGCATTCTGAAGTTATAATACCTAATATATAGATTTAGGCCAGCCTAAAAGCGTAGCTCCTGGGCCGCGTTGTTCTAAGCCCGATTAAGCTAACCCAGAAAAAGGTAGAATTTTGATTTGAGTTTCGTCACTTTGCGGTGAGGTTTTTTGTATATTGTTTGGCCTTCTGTTTTGAGTTTTCATAATCACCATATACACAAAACAAAACTGCAAAAAACATTTGTATAGAAGAAAAAGTTATAATTCGGTTAACTGATTAGCGTAAACCGGCTTCTGAACAATCCTGC